CCGTCCGTCCGTCCGTCCGCGAAAGCGAAGAAGGAAAAAGGAAGAAATAATTAAGTGAATCGCGTTGCAATAAGCTCTAGGGTAAAGCAAAGTCGGGTGAGGTGCACACGCGCGCTCACCCACCCACCCACCCTCCCACCCACACACACAAACACACAAGCACACACACACACACACACACACACACACACATATATATATATATATATATATATATATATATATATGCGCGCGCGTCGGCGGTGACGACGGCGACGACAACTACGGTGGCACAATATGTAATTCCGCGCTCTCCTCGCCGATAATTATTATGGCTTTCGAGCTCGCTGCGCTATCCGCGACGTCGACCTTCTGTCCCACGTTCTTTTGTCCCCCGGCCACGCGATCCCGCGATAAAACTACTTGCCGAATTTATATTCGTGCGCGAGAAAACTGAATTGTCGATGGATACGTGCTCGCTCCTCTTCCGCCCCTTAATTTACGACTACTAGAGCCGAGCTCGCGGCGCCTTTTCTCCGAGGGACCTCGCGTTTCGCAGGCATACGTAAGGCTCGAGTTGGTAGATTTGAAATCCGATTGAGCCCTAATGTATCGAGGCTTAAGCTAAATATTAAAATTTTATTCGGATTATCATAATCTGCCGAGGTATATTTATCGGCGAACGCTTATTCGATTGGATAACGAGCGTTATGCTATTTTCGAGCCTCACCACTCACGAAGCCTATTTCCCTTATATTTGGTCATTTCAATTATTGAAATACGTTGGAATTTTAATTCACTCATTAAATGTTAACAAAGTAAAGTATTTATTGGCGTTGCGGAGAAGCCCTTCGACCAATTCGCTCAATTTAAATGCGAACTTTTTAATACTTTGTTTCCTCCCGGTAGAGTTTACGAACGGTAAAAGGTACTTTGAAGTGAATATGATGGAAGTAAATTTTCACAATTATAAATGAAGATCGGAGAATATTTTTTAACCTTGTTTTTTGTTTTCTTTTGCATACGAACGTATATATTCTATACGTTCTCGACGCTTCCTTTTCTCTTTCCCGAAAATACTTCCATTACATCCATCCTTTTATTAATACTTTCTTCCGGCCGTTTTTCTGACAATCTTGCCCTTTCCGCCTGAACATTGAACAATATTGAGTATACGTCTGTTTTAAACACGAATCGGATATTATTTTTCAAACGTTAAATTTATTGTTGTGCAGAGGAGTCTTTCTTTTAGTTTCTATTTTATTTTCAATTATTCTTTAGAGAACTTTGAGAATTATATAAATGAATGATCGTTTTTTTTTTTTTGTTTTTTTCTTGTTGTTCGTTTTATTTAATCACAATTCTTTGTTTAATTTGAACAAAAACATTTAAAAGCCTTTTTATACACCGTACAGATAATAAATAATTAGTTGGCGAAAAATTCTAAGGAAAAATAAAACGAAAAAAAGGGACATAATAAGTTAACACTTTTGTGAGAGTAAGGAAATGAATTCTCACTTTCTAATATGAAAATGGAAAAATGCATATAAAGTTTATACATTTTCATAATAATGTACTAACTACATTTACCAGTAGTACTAATTAAGGAATGTATGGATTTAAAATTATTACGGTCGTCTAAGCCTAATTTAAAAATAATAACCATTTATTAGAGAATTAATGAAGAAGTCGTAAGTAGAGTTTCCGCGATCGTGTAAGGGCATTATAGGAAAATATTAAAAATGCTAATATAATGAATTTTTGTATGGTATATATATATATATATATATATATACTTTATTCTTATTATTACGCGAGCATTCAATTATTGAATTTTTTTTTTTTTTTTTTTTTTTTTTTTTTTTTTTTTATACAAAATTATTATTGTAAACGCTTTTTAATTTTTCGTTCTTCTTTATTTTTTATTTTTTATTATTTTTCTTTCAGTCTGTAATAATTTTGCAATAAATATCTATTATTTCTTTAAGAAGTGCAGCGTTACTTGTAATAGAGAGTCACTCTCAAGTAATCGATAACTAATCATCATAATTAAAAGTATTAATTCGTAATTAGAGTTTAAAGACTATGTTTATAGCATTTATGAAGCTTATGAGAAGTTGATCGACTAACTTTGTAATATTATCTAGTCGACGTAATTATTAAGTCTATTATTGTTGTTGTTGCTGCTGTTGTTTTATTACTTTTTTTTTTATTATTTTAATTAAAAAGACGATATTTATTTAATGTGCAGAAGTATTTCCGAATAGTTTACATTAATCCATCACTTTCTAATGGAATCTACATAAATATATTATATTTATCCGTCGAATGTTGGGAGCGCAAAACGCAAAACGAACGTTGCATTCCCTTGGTTCAATCTTCGACAAAGAAATGGTAGAAATTCAAATTTAAGGTGAGTTTATTTTATCGACGTGCCACAATCGCAACACCAGTGCACAATTTAAATCTACGCTTGTAATAGCATTGCGCAAATTGGAAAAATACGAAGAGTCCCCGGTCCCGCCCCTTTCTCGAAAGATCGGCCGCGATACTCTCGCGCACGTCCCCCAGCCAAATGAAAATAATTCCTGCGCCGTTCCTGGACCCGTTACGTAAGTGGAGACGTATCCGTTGAAGTGGAGGAGAATGGGAATCGATCGATCGATCGATAATGGGATGCAGTCATCGTGGTGCCGCGACCCGCGAGCGCAACTCCAGCGGGAACGGTGGGTGCTCGGTGAGCGGCGGTAAGGGGAGGCGATAGGGTGTGTGTGTGTGTGTGCGTGCGTGCGCGCGCTTGCGTGCGTGTCGGTCTAGCGGCGCGGTGGCGGAGGGTGGTTGAGCGGCAGGGGTGGGGCGGGGAGGAGGAGAGTCAGGGAGGGCTGAGAAAAAGGAGAACGCCAAGGAGTATGAGAATCGCGTCGAAGGAGGAACAATAGGAATGAATTAGGATGAGTAAGAAAAAGCGTCGTGCGCTTGTGCGGAGAAATTTTCGAGAATTACGTCGGTCTTATTAGGAAAAAGTTAATTGGCTACGATAATGAACTGGTGAACGGTTTCGTCAAGTCTCGTCAATGCAATTAACAGAATCGTATAAGATGATGCTACGACTTGCGCGTTTAAATTGTGTTTCTTCGCGGTGGGCCTTTATTTTGTACTCGATCGGCTCTTTTTTTTAGTCGACAGGCGTACTTATTTAGTCGCTAGTTGCAAACTATGTTTATTGATAACGATAGCCGTTCAATCGCGGCACGTTAAAATTTCACGCTGTCTAATGCCAATAATTTAATTATAAACAAGAAATGACGTATAAGTATTTGATAATTCAGCAACTTCATACGCCAACATCGTCTATTATAAGACTGAATTTGCATTATCTATAGTCTACCCCGGCAATTGAATAAATAATAAGATATGCCCTATTACATTCCTCATTAACCTCTGTTAATGTTAAATATAGCTCAATCAACGGATCTATCAAGTTCTCGATAGATCGCATTACTTTTTCCATTTTTTGCATAATTGTTGAGTGCGCAGCAATCACTCGTTACATTTGCTCTCGTGCGTCTTAGGTTTTTCCCTAAGTGCCCACGGGATTATTTCTTCTTTTTACGCAATAAAGTAACTTGACGCCATGTAATTATTGTTTTCCACGGAGAAAATTTACTGCCGAGCCGTACGCTTAAAAGGTTAGTCATGCTGCATCCTTTGTTTATATACTCGTGGAGTACTCGATGATGAAAAAAATACCCCATAAGCTACAAACAAACTGCGCGGACGAAAAAAGCATAATTGTAAAAACAGAAGATGGAGAGAGAGACAGAGATAGAGGAAAGTCATAGGCTGGTCCCGGATGAACTCAGCTGTGGAAGAGAAGATAAGGGGACCCTCCAAAGTCGGGCGCCAGCGTTTCGCCTCGGACTCTCGACTCTCTCGGGTGGTCCACGGCCTTCTCTCTCTCTCTCTTTCTCTCTCTCTCTCTCTCTCTCTCTCTCTCTCTGTCTCTCTGTCTCTCTGTCTCTCACTCCCTGCGGTTTTCCTTTTATGTGCTCTATCTCGTTCGCCATTCCCCTTGTCTCCTTGTCTCCTTATTCTTGACTGGCTTGCTTCTGCTTTTTAGCCTTGTTTCCTAATTCCCTTTTCTTTCTCCTTTTCCATAAGCTTTCACGTGTAATACGAGCGTATACGTGTATTTGCTTTGAATTGGAAATTGTGCCTCCCTTTATATTTATGTCTTCTTTCCTGCGCCATGGATTTTGATGAGGTACGCGCGATATATTTTTCATGTTTTGCAATTTAATTAAAGGATTTTTCTTTATTTAACCAATAGCGAGTTTTACATTATTAAAAAGTGCATCCTAATGTCGAAGTCGGTACTACATAGATTAAAATAAATTAATCGATGTTTTATTTTTTCCTCTTATCATGTACCATATTTTAATGGAGTAGATAAAAACTTGAGTATTCTTAAAATTAAAATAAATTATTAATAAAGTAAGTTGATGAAATGCATCGACTCACTGAAATTGCAATATCAAATAATATAACCGTCTTAATTGTTAATATATATATGCTTGGATGACAATTTCTCTATAATATAATAATATCTGATCGATAGTTGACTGATTGAATAGAAAATTTGAAATAATATAAATTGTTGACATTTTTGTGCAAATTTTAATAATTTATTTATCCGAAAAATCACATAATCACATAATTTCTATCTGTTAGACGCGTTTTTATCACGACAGTGACACAACAGTTGCGTTTAATTTTTTCATAAAATAAGACAATGGAGTTGTGGATTATAACGACATGTGTGGCAAAGTAACAAACCATCAAATTGTTAAAACTAAAAACTCGCTCGTTGGCGGCTTTATTTCCCTGATTTTTCATACTAATGATAAAATATTGGGAAAGCGATTATTGAGAAAAACGAGCACCCCTATCAAATTGCATGTGCAAATTGCTTGAGAATAGGAAAAGCCGTTGCATTCATGTGCGAGCTCCTTGCTTCGTAGAAGCTGCGTCGACTAGCAGGACAGTCGTCAGGATTCGTTCCAACGAAGGTCAACCGAGTCACGCACGAGATCTTCCGAGAAGGACTGAGCGATTATCCGAGTTAACTTACATAATTTGCGCTGCTGGCTGCGATTTTCTACAGCACCGAAGGCGAATGCACATGGCAGTGATAATTAAAAATGCGATGCTCAACGCTCATTGTGTCATTTATTTGTGGATTATATTGATTATATAAAAAAAAAGTGTCTATTTTACAAATGTATTCAAATTTAAAATTGCCCATTAAAGAAATATATTTCATGTCCAAGTATCGATCAGTTACTATAGATAAATGATAAATATAAATCTTTAGTCGTAGGGATAAATCGTCTTCGAAAAGCTTTTTCTTAGATAGTTTTATATTATTATATATAATATGTTAAATAATATTGATATTATGTTATGCTATAAAAACAGAAAATAATGCGATCGATAAGATACTGGGTGAACAAGAAATAGCAACGATTATACTTATAGTTGTTTTACATTAGTTTAAACTATAATAACTTTATTATTATATTAATTTATATTTATTCCATTAGATTGTAAGCTGTTTATTATAAAATATAATTGAATATATTTCCCAAGCACTTATTTTTAAGACATAGTAATACAAAAATGAAATATTTTACGATTTCAATTACGTAAACACCTGATAGATTTTTTTTTTCCGTTACGAACAAATAATTTATTCGTTATAAGTTTTCCATATATGAGAATGATATACAGAGGAAAGCACGCGCGAGAGAGAGAGAGAGAGAGAGAGAGAGAGAGAGAGAGAGAGAGAGAGGTGGAGCGAGAAAAAAGAGTAAAATATAAGAGCCAAGCACACACAAGAAAGCAAAAGGTAATATAGAGAAATAAAAGTGGACGGGGAGGGGGAGGCGCTACTGCTCTTTCGATTCCAGGACTCGTGCAAGATCCTCGATACGTATGGAACAACGCGAGAACGCGTTCCATGGATTCTGTGCAACGGCTTGGTTTGGAGTGCCGTCTTTAATGTGGGACGTAGCATACGAGAGAAAGGGTGGAGAAAAGAGTGGAAGAAGAAATATATTCTTGAATAGTTTAACTATCGATTGAATCTAAATAAAAACTGCCACTTTTTGGTGTATTGTATAAGCGAATATAATGTTTCTTATAAATGGCGTGCAAAATTATGTACAACATATTTCTAATATTTTAAAGCCCAAGTGAGAGGAGGGAAATGGTTGGTACATGGGACTACATAATGATCGGTAATATCAAAGCATTTTGCCTCGAAATTGTCATTTTTCCATATTATCCGAGGGCGATGCCGTAAACAATGAATTTTACCCAACAAGTAAATACGTATTTCCTTCGCTAACAGCGCAGGTCGTAAAAGCCATCATAATAAATAGGAAAATTATAAATAATGTTTTAATGGACGTTCAGGCTATAGATTGCCGTTAAGATTCGCGCTTTACGCGATCATTCGTTAAATTCCTAAGCTTATACAAGATAAAATTTTGGACGATTCGTTCGCATGTCATACGAAAGCATCACGAAATGAAAATATGTCTAAATTAAAATTTGGATTTTTTATTTCAGATGAGAATTCAGGGCTCCCAATAATTTGTAAATTTTGATTCCAGCGTACCCTCGATGTTCTCACTGCAAATCTTGCCATTCTCTCGCTCCTTAATAATAATAAGGGCATTTTCACAGCTTCCTAACCATTCATGCAAATGTCACTTAAAATTCTCAACAAATAAGCAATGACAATTTTCTTTTTTGACACCTCGACATGGGCGAGCCCCGCAAGAGTTCGCTGCTCCAACTGTGCAAATAACACTGACAGTCCAGCATGAAAATAGCCTGGGTAATGAAAATGGTAGATGTAGATAGTGTTCGCGAGCTCGAAGATACGTTTCTTCAAAAAGTCTGGCAAACAGTCAATCGGAAGA